GGTTTTGTATTTGATATACAAATCGTCACTTAACTAGATAAAAAGGAATGTCATTCGAAAACGCCATTTCTTCCAGAAACATTTAATTCGGTATCTATTGGAGCACCACCACTACCAGTGTCATTACAGTGGAAAAAAACGACTGTCTGAAATGAGTTAGTTAGGCAGCATGTCAACTGTTTTGGAGTTTAGTTCGTTTCTGTAAATTTGGAATGCACACAGGTACCTCCAGATACAGGTCTGATGCAAATCAATGCAAACCGCTTTTGCATAGACTGCAATTTAGTTCTATTAAGTTTTTCTAAAAACCAGGTAATCGAAACAGATAGTCTCACGCAGCACCAGGTAAATACGTGCAAAAGAATTGACGACGGACATTTACTATTTAGGTGCGTTAGGTACAAATGTGGATACAGGTTCTTTGAAGGTGTGGCACTGGTTGCGGACAAGACTGAGCAGTCGTCTCGTTACTTGTTGTAAACCAAGAAAGACATTGGTTTCGAACACATGTTGTCAGCTTAAAAGGAATGCCAGCGTTATTTAATGTCCTACTGAGCTTATTATGTCTCACATTGCCTAGCATTACAGCCATACGTAGCCAGTGTAAGTCCTGAATCTTTAATTAATAAGCAAGAATACATGTTGCTGTTTGTAAAATATTGGTTGAATCCATAAAAAGGACAAATTGTAATTTTTTGGAGTAAGCGAGTTCAAAATTGTTGTCATACCTAAAGCAGGGAATTAAGTTAAAACTTATTGTGTCCTTAAAAGGCATTACAGATCTGTTAATTCTTAATGATAGTGCAGCGGATTAACAGCGATCGCGCCTGAGTGAACCCTGGTTATTGACCTGACGGCGACAATGACTCATCTCCTTTTCATTGGTTACTGTATCCGATGCCTGTCATCCGTTCACTCTTCCACACACTAAGACATATTTGGCTGGTTTGACGCTAATAAACGGTCGTGTCCTCTGTCGCCTCTTTTCCACTCTACTCAGGTTGTTTCGGGCTTTTAACTAGAGGGTTGTAAGGTAGTGCTTAGACCACAAGCTACAACAATGGAGAGGCGGAAGCATGTGTTGTCAATACTGTTAATGATAAGTTTTATATGGCAGACTCGCGACAATTGAGAAAACAGAAAATGCTTTACTAATCAGAAACGCTAACACCTCTTATTTTGTTTCCTTGATATTCATCCCAACAGTCAGGGCATTTAACCTGAACTGAATTTTGTACATGAATGACACGACGACTCTGCTAGCGGTCAGTGAGTCATGTTTTCACATAGGTTTAGCTCAGGCAGTTGTGACTAGCACTCTTCACATAATAGACTTAAAAGTCCCGAGGAATTAATCTGAAGAAAAATAAGTCCAAATGAGCTATTATCTACATTTTAAATTTGCAAATCGGGCTTAGCACATGAGCCTGAAGCAAACTAGTAGTGATTAACAATTATTATCAGCGATTTCTGAGTAATCAAAACACATCTGATAGATGCACAGCACTCGTATTTTATCTGAGGTTACCGAAATTGCAGTTTAGGAAAATGTACTAAAAATTCTTCTTTGCCCATGAAATGCGCTTCTGGTGTATGTTGAACAAGCAATTTTTCCAGATGCCTCTTGCAAATGCATTTGATGCAGCAATAAAACAGTCAAGTACGTTTTATGGCCATTCTAATCCGATATATGTTAATCATTCTCAAGCTGCTAGATCATTTCCGCCAATATTTTATTTAATATATATCACCTGGATTTTAACCGAGGCACAAAACGTATCCTGAGAAAAGTCTAGTCAGTGGCATAGCATTAACACAGTAGGGTCTTATTTAAACGAGAGCAATGCATATTGGATTTCTGGCCATTATTCCGCGAAAAAATAGTGGGTTATGAGGAAACAGCCGAAATAACAAAGCAACCAAAAATAACAAAACGCATTAGCATTTTATACAAATTAAGTTGGCCAATTTCAACCGCGTGTAGTTTTCAACAGCAGCAGTTACAAGGCCTTAGTTGAATTGCCGAACACTCTGTCAGTAATGTGCTTTTTTGCCTTGTTGTACCAGATTTCGGTTTTTGACATTTCTGCCTGACTCTTTTGATTTCCTTCACAACTGTAAACACGATCGAAATTCAGC